CACACACACACACACACACACACACACACACAAATAAATAAAATTTTTTTAAAAAGTAAAAAAAAAAAACCAAGCAACAACAAATATGCTGAGGGCGTTCAGATCTAAAAAGTAACTCCTGCATTCAAAAGAACTAGCAAATGGCTCCGGAATGTAAGTGGTTACTAAGGCCATCCCTGAGGAACAGTTTATAAATGGCACATCTTGACTACTCACAACATGAGGTGAGAGGTTTCTACTATCGTCGTGGAGTGTGCTTGCATGCATTTACTTCCTGATTGTATCCATGGAGAGGTGAAACTCCAGGCACCATGTGTGCCGGGCTGTCCCTCCAGGCACGCAGGAGGAAAGGAGGAGCCTCTCTGGTGGGGTGAGGTGCTAGGTCCTGCCTCCCACCCATTCCCACTGTCCCCACCCGCCGTGACCCCTGGGCCTCACCGGTCCTCTACAGCCGTCGCGCCGAGCAGAATGAGGTCCTTCTCTATCTGCTCATAGGCCTCAGCTAGCTTCTTCTCCCGGTCCTGGAGCGCCACCTTGGCAGCCTGCAGCAGCCCGCAGACGCCCTCGTAGTCCTCGGGAACAAGCCTCTTGTAGGCCACACACAGCGTGCGGAGCCCCTCCTGTCAGCACAGCACGGCTCCGTGTCCCCTGCTGGCACTGCTCTCAGGGTCCCCTCTAGCCCAGCCAACCCTGGCTACCACCGGAGCGCCCACGCTCACGTAGATGCAGATTATAGAAAGCTGGAGTAACTGCGAGCCCCAGGTCCCTCCCTCTGCCAGTGGGCAGACTCGCTCTGCTCTGACAACGCGCTGCTCCACCGAACCCTGAGTGCGGGAACAACAGCCCATCTTAAGGTGCGTGTGCTGCAGCCGGGCACGGGCCCAGGCCCAGGCGCTGCTGATCATAGGACTGCAAAGGTTTCTCACAAGGGATGGGCTTCCAGGCCCATGGGGCCACACGGGACCCCGCCATCAACCTTCACAGCTCACAGTGCCCGTTGAGGGGTGAGGGAACAGACATGGTAGTCCATCCGCATGATTTGCTACCTCCCAGGAGAGAAACCTTTGAACCTGGGCGCCCAGGATGGGCGAATCTCAAACTGTTATCACATCCCGGGAAGGGACGCCGACACACTACATCATGATTCCACAGACAGGGAAGGCCCAAAGTGAGCCTTACCTCCCATGGCAGCAAGCCGGCAGGGTCTGCTGCTGGGTGGGGGACAATGCAGGACAGAGCTGCACAGGTCTCACCCCACCAGCCTCAACACTCCACTCTGCACAGGTTCATGCAGGCAGTTACAGCTCAAAAGTGTCTCTTTTGAAAAGCAGATAAACTTAAAATCACCCTATTAACATGGGCACGCTTCCACTCTCCAGGAAACGCCTCCTCCAGATCAGCAGGGCGCTCCTCCTGAGGACAACCCCAGCAGGGGGCATGGGCCCCTCCAGGTGCCCATGGGAGTCTGGCACTAGCCAGCTTGGGCCAGTGTGTCTGTGGAGAGCAGTGCAAGGGCCTGAAGTGGTACTGCATGGAGCAAAGGCTTTCTGTACAAGGTGCTGGTGCACACCACACCCAGGGCCCTCTGCCACAGGGAGGCAGCCACGCTGAGGGGAGGCTGAACTGCCGCAGCGGGGTGTGAAACAGCGCTCCTCACCACGGCGTTGCGCTCCACGCGGGACCGGATCTGATCCACTTTGCCTTCAATCACTCGGGGGAAGATGGAGGAATCTGCTCCTTTGCAAAACAGATAAATTTCCCCTGCCGAGAAAAGACACTTGGTCACAAGCCGGGAGAACAAATCACAGCTCAGATCTTGCTGTTATGAAAACACCCAAACCAGGAGGTCAGCATGGCAATGCAGGAAGTGGTGATGGAGTGGCCCGGAGCCCCAGACCTGGGAGAGGTCCAGCCGGGAGGACAGAGGCTGCTCCCAGGGTTGAGACACAGGGCGTATGGTGACTGGGGTGGCACTCTGCCGAAGCATGAGAAGGTGAACCTAGACCCCCTCAGACTGAGATGGCGGTGCTGTGTATGTTGGCAGGACTGTCTGCAGCTGGAGCTGGGGGCAGAGGGAGAGACGGAGGGCGGGCAACCGGCTCAGCTGACTCCAGGGGGCAAGCTCAGCCCTGGGCAAGCCTAGGACCATGGCTAAGGACTCAGTGTATGCCAGGCCTCCATCGTGCCTGCCCCCAAATCCTGGGAGACCCCAAAGCCAAGAGGTACAAATGGGGAAAACCCTTGCTCTAGATGTCATGTGATGACATCACACAGCAGGCCACAATGACAGCCATGATGACAGGATGTCACCTATAGCCCAAGGGACAGTACCAGACAGCCACGTGTAGCTGAGCAAAGGACCATGCTCCAAGGAGCAACTGAGGATGCTGAAGCCCAGGCCCAGGAAACCCCATAGGAGCACAAGTATGAGCCCCCGGTTACTTGCTGCTCTGGCCGACTTCAGGTGCCCCACTATTGTGCCCCATGGCTTCTGCCAACCCTGTGCAGTCACACTAAGACACATCACACTGTCAGCCTCCAAACAGGCTTGCGTGTCCAGAGGACACTGGAAGTGTCACCTTCTTGAGGCCAGGGGAGTGGTAATGGCGTCCAGCTCAGACCCACACGTCCACTTGTGTGTACAGCTGCAGGGCCGCAGCAATGCCGTGTGCAGGAATGGAACCCATGGCTGGGGTTCCTGCCAGGGCTCTGCCCCGGGATGTGGGCTGTAGGACAGGAGGACCAGATAGAGACTGGCCAGAGCTCCAGAGGACACGACTGGTAGCTCACCAAGGACGCGCCACACCAGAGGGGCAGGACACCAGTGGGCAGCGTGGGTTGTGTGGCCGTTCCCTCCCTGGCCCGCTCTTGGGTCGCCACGGACAACATGGCATTGCAGAAAAGGCCCTGGATGTCAGCACTTCTGAGAGTGGAAACCCCTCGTGTCCGTCCCCAGACCCACGAGGCCGACCCCACGACCCCCACCCTGGACACTGGGAGTGCATCTTCTGGGCTCTAGGCTGTGTTGGTAGGGTCCAGCTTGGCCAGACACCCCACTTCCACCTCTTGCGGGGCTGAGCGTCACATGTGCGCCTGGTCACCCTGCCCGCAGGATGCCCAGCTCAGCCTGCTGTGTGGGCGTGGCTTGGGCGGGCTGGGCCGAGGCCGTTTCATACATGGCTGCTGTGGGCACTGGCCCTAAACAGCCCTGGGTGAGACCACCTGGCCTCAGCGCCAATGCCTGCCTTTCCCCAGGCTGCCGAGAGGCTCACAGGACCAGGGAAGACCCGGAGGCTGGCCTTGTGATCTGGCCTCAGGACGGCACAGCATCGCTGGCGAAAAGCAGCTGTCACGAGGAGTGGGCCAAGCACAGCTCAGCAGGCCTCGGGCCGAGGGGCCAGGGGCACACTCCCACCCCCCACTCAAGGCCTCCACACCGCGCTGCCTGACCATGCAGGGCTACAGGCCAGCCAGGACCATGACAGGGCAGCGCGGTCACTTGCCCGGATGCAGCTGTTGGCGCCAAGCCTGCCGGTCCCGGCCAGGCTGCCAGGGCCTTTCTCCACGGGCAACACAGAAGCTATGTAGTCCTGCACTACCCTGTGTACGGCTGGCTGGGCCGGCGGGGCGCAGGTGCCTCACAGTGGTGGTTCCTCTTACGGTGATGCTGCAGGCCGGGGGTGGGGTGGGGGACGGGCTTGGGGTGGGTGGCAGGTTCCCGGCAGCCGCAGCACCTCCTGAGGCTGCACACCCAACACACGTACGCGCACGCACACACTTAGCAGTCACAGAACACTTAAGGTGTTTTGGGGTTGTTCAGAGGCAAAGGCCTGGCTGGTGCTGAGCTCTTGCAGGTGGGTTTGCAGCCAAACCTGCCTTCCCTCCAGGCAGGGTTATCTGGGCACGCGGGCAGCACAGAGGTGGGACACGCAACCCTTCAGCAGTGCAATGAGCCTAACGTAACGCCAAGGAGAGGGGCTCAGGGTGTGCAGCCCTGAACTCAGACCCTCATGTTTAAAACATTTTGCTTTTCAAAAAACAGGATCAGGGAGATAGCTCAGTGGCTTAAGCGCGTTCCTGGTAAGTGCAAGGTGCTGAGTTCAATCCCCAGTAACAAAAACAAAACAACCAAAAAAAGTAGCTCCCTCTGTACAGACGGAAATAAGAATAAGACCTCTCTGGCGCAAATCCTCCAGGCTCCTCGCTGGCAGCCACCAGAACACTGCGTGTGGGTCAAGAGACCTACCTGTGGTGGACCTGACAATTACGCTCATCCTCCTCCTCACAGAGTCAAAACTCAGAACTTCCAGCAGCTCGAACCTGCGAAGAGAAGAGAGAGGCGCAGTCTCTCTGGGCCCAGGAGGCCAGCATGAAGCGGGGTGGCATCTTTCTTCCAGCCCCACCCTCTGCATCCTTCTCCTCAGAGGGATGGTGGGGCCAGTCTGCACCCCAAGCTGATCATGGGGGCGTCCTGGAGTAGCCGGGCTGCTCTGCAAGCCGTGGCTGGGCCTGCAGGCCCAGGGCCCCCACGTGGCCAGCACGTGGTGACCACAGCGGCTGCTGGCCTGCAGTTCCCCAGGCACCACAAGGACTTCACGCCTACCCTCAGGAGCTGGGACTTAGCTGCAGCGAGTAATGGCCCGGCTGTACCAGCAGGAGCCAAGCCAGTCTGGCACCAGCGCTGCCCCTTTCTCTCACCCAGGAGCCCCTTTCTACAAGTGAAACTTTGGAATCCAGGTTTTTGAGGCCGTCAACAACCAATCTTCTGTCCCTCACTGTCTCGTGTCTGTCACTATATACCTGTACCCATTTAGCATGCAAGGTCCTGAGTAGCACTCAAGTTGGAAGACACGTCCCCCTTCTTAGGGAGAGGCACTGGGGCCCAAGATGCCCCGTATCGAAGCTGGAAGCTGGAAAGCGTAGCTGTGCATTCATGGTGGTGCACGCCTGACTTACAGCTACCCAGAAGGCTCAGGCAGGATGATGCCAAGTTCGAGGCCAGCCTGAGCCATGGAGGAACCAAGTGAGACCCTGCCCTCAGACTAAAGACAAAAGGCCGGGAGAGCTGCTCAGTGGTGGTGCACCCATGGGCCCTGTCCCCAGTACTGTTTAAAAAGTGTGTAACTGTACCAGCTTTTCAGAGGAAATGTTGTCCCGTGACCTGACATGCCGAGTCACATGTGGGGACAGCCACTCACTTCTTCCCTCTGGAGAGCAAGAGGGCTGAGAGAGGGCAGTACTTTCCAGAAGCCTTCAGATGGCAGAAGGTTCTAGAAGCCATGAGCCAGTGGGGCACTGCACAAGGTCTACGAAGGTTGGACATTCTGGAAGCCTTGAAAACTCCTGCAGCATAACCCATTGAACTGAAATGTACTTCATGACAAGGCTTTTCAACACTGCCAATGAATGCACCATCCCTGGACACCATCAGGAGAACACCCAACGCCACGCTTTCCCTGCACACATCCAGGGTCCCCAGAGTGCACAAAGCCCTTTGCTGTCCCTGGCAGAAGGGCGGCTGCAGGCCTCACCTCTCAATGTCCCCATCCCTGTTCAGGATCTCCATGTAGCTGTCCTTCAGCCGCAGGTATGTGAAGCCCAGCCTGCAAGGAGCAGCTCCGTTAGCGTGGCCCACAACACTCCTCCCATGAGCCTGCCCAATGGGGGTCCATGCACTTCCTGAAGAAAGACCCAGCAGCCTCCCATCTGCTGGCCAGGCACTGGGCTGGGCAGGGGCTCACAGTGCGCAGGACACTTGCCCGCAGCAATGCCCAGGCTGAGAGTGCCAGGAGCGTGGAGGGTGAGGCCTGTCTCAGAGGCTCCTGGACAGAACTTGGTGCCCAACCTCACAGTGTGAGCCACCAGTGTGGCAGTGGCTGAGGAAGGGCCTTCCAGAAATGAAGAGCCCTGACCTACCAGGAGTGACAGGCGAGGTGCAGGAACACGATACCTGCCTCCGCGAGGTGCACATGATATGATTCCTCACTGTCTCGCCTACCTCGGCCTCCCCACAGGCCCACGGACTCAAGAACGAAGGCCGGTCGGGACAGACGTACCTCTGTACACCCTCCACCAGCGCAACTTCGTCAGGTGAGGATGAGATGTACACACAGGATTTGCCTGAGTCCGGTGACTTCCTGGGGCCGTCCACATGGTCCTCATCCTTCACCTGGACTGTGTGGCAGAGACAGAGAGCCCGGAAGAACAGCTCCTCTCGCTCCTGCGGGATAGCACAAGGGGTTGGAGCAGGTCCATGTTTAAGAGGGGAACGGGGGTGGGGTGGTGACACATGGGTTTGGGCAGGACCTCAGGAGCCTGGCGCCACCCTGCCCGGCAGCTGATCAACCTGTGTGGCTCCTGAGGCCTGAAGCTCTGCTTGGGGATTCGCGCAGGATGCGGGCCAGCGGGGACCACATGAGGACCCCGAGGCTCTGGGTGCATGCAGGAACGGTCCCAGGCCACACTCCCAACACCTGTGCTGTTGCTCCCAGTCTGGCACTGTGACAGTGACACTCTCCCAGCCTCTGGGTGCCTTGCCTTCCTCGAAAGCCCTGTACTCGTAGCCTGAAGCTGAGCAGCCAAGGAAATTAGTATTCGGGAAACTGGGCAACATGCCCGCCTTCACAGCAAGCTGATAGGGAGCCCATAGCTGCCCAGGCCAGCTTACTCCACGTGGGTGGCCTGAGGTGCAGTGTGCATGGGACAGCAGGGCGGGACAGAGGCCACAGGCACCTGCTCCCTTGCTGTGTGCAGAATCAGCTGGCGCCCAGGCAAGGTCTGTGTTCTGAGGTCTCCTGCCAACTGGCGCGCAGGAGTCCCAACACAAGGAGATGTGTGTGAGCACGAGCACACGTGTCTGTGGCTATGAACCTGCACACCTACCCGTGCACATCTGGGTGTGTACACATGGGTTTGCACACACACCGTACACTGCCTGCCTGGCTGGGGCTCTGAGTCTGGGTTGGGGCTCCCTGGCCATGCGCTATGAGGGGACACAGTGCCCATGAAGCACGGGCCAGTCCCCCAAGGTCCTACAGGGCTCCCGACTCTCCAAGGAGCCTGAGTGAAAGAGGACCCTCTCTGAGAGTACCATACGCCTGCCCGTGGGGAGAGCAGCCTACCCTGCTGCTGATGCCTGGGGACGAGTCGATCATGTCAATGCCTGAGGAGTCGGGCAGCACCTGCCCGTTGCAGATGGCGTGCGGCACGTACACGTGGCCCTCGATGCAGCACTCCTTGAAAGCCATGTTGTTCTCGGTGAGGGTGCCCGTCTTGTCAGTGAAGATGTACTCCACCTGCATACACATACAGAGTCACACACTCAAGACATGGGGGCCTCACCTGGGCCAGCTGCAGCCTTTGGCCACAGGCAGGACGCCCCACTCTCCATGCTGGGATGGTTTGGGGGGCTGGCGTAGGGTGTCTGGAGTCTCCTCTGACGCAACAAAATGGGGGGTGGGTATCCTGGGGGCCACAACCCACGAGGCCACATAAGATGCAGATAATAGACCCCAATACGCAAGCACGGAAAGCAGCTGTGGAGAGTGGAGAGGACAGGGAGGTCTGAACCCTAAAGTTGGGGCAGCACTGGCCACACAGCTGGGGCATGGTGGGAAGGGAGCTAGGCGCCAAGGCCGGAGCAGCGCAGGGCCCGCTGGCTTCAAGTGGGAACGGAGTGGGGTGCAGCTCACACTTTGGGGGCACCTTGCCCACACGGGTCTCTCAGACATGCTCATGGAAACCCACAGCTGACAGTGCCTCTGATGGCCTGCTGGCTCTAACAACTGACCAGGACACCCACGCTATCTCCCAGAACTAGCTCTTCTGTGAACACAGCCCACAGCCCACACCCCTGCCAGGCCCCGCGGTCGGGACAGAGGATGCTGTCCATCAAGGCCCCCACACTGTGGCCAGAGGGAAGGAGTATACCTCGGTGGGCACCGGTGGGGCTCAGCCTCCCCGGCTGGTGGGGCGCTAGCGCCTCCTAGCCTGGCCCAAGGTCTCTGATGTGCATCATTACCCAAGCCTAGACACAGAATAAGCACGAAACCCCAGACCCACGCTTACAGGCGAAATACAGAACGAAGCCGGGGTTCAGAAGTTCGGTGGCCACACTGCGCAGCTACAGCCGCATGGTAGTGCCTTCCAGGACCCTGACCATGGTGTCTGACAACTGTAACAATCCATCCCAATGCGCCTCTCAAGCTCGGAGCAGCCGCGGGCACCGCACTTGGCCTCACAAATGCCAGGCCAGCCACCTTACCATCCCAGCCTCAAACGCAAACAGGGGCTTGAAACTGGACACATAGGCTGGTTCGCCAGCGGATATTATTGAACAAGCTTGTTGTTGCTTCATGTTTTAGTTTGTTGGTGTTTAAAAATGCTATGGGCTTTTATATATATTGATGTTTTTAAGTTTAATTTTTTTTGGTCTTCTTGGGACAGAGTTTTGCTATGTGGTTCAGGCTGGCCTTGAACTCCCAACAACCCTCCTGCTTCAGCAACCCAGGATTACAGATGTGTGCCATCCCGCTCAGCTGTACATTCATTTTACATCCTTCAACTTCCTTGAATTTATTTGTTCTAACAGTTTGTGGAGTCTTTCGTGTTTTCTACAGTTAAAACCTCATTACCTGGAAACAGGGACGGTCTGACTTCTCCCCATTCCCTTCTCTCTATCCCTCCTTCCCTCCTTCCCCTCTTCCTTCCCTCCCTCCTGACCCTCTTCCTTCCTTTCCTTCCTTCCCTCCTTCCCCCATTCTCCCCTTCCTACCTTTCTCTTACCAAATGCCCCATGAAAGCAGCATTCTCACCCCAACCCTGACTTTAGCGTCCCTGACGTGAGGCCGCTGGTATAGGCTGTCACACCTGGGCCACAGCAGGGCCACAGCAATGCCCAGGTACCAACCTGACCCAGCTCTTCATTCAGGTCCGATGTGTTGACAAGCGGCCCCTCCCCGCTCTCCTCATCAAACATGTCCTCATCCCAGGTGATGAAGTAGGAGCCCAGGAACTTCTGCATCTCCACTGTGACATACATGGACACTGGGATGATGTAGTTGAAGAGGACCATGAAGGCCAGGAAGTCGGTGAAGGCTCTGAGAAACTGAGAGTGCAGGGTGCATCAGAGGATGTGTCTTTGGGCCAGCTGAGTGCCATGCGTGACTGGGGAGAGACCATGCTCCTGTCCTGCCCCAGCCCTGAGCTTGAGAAACAAAGCTGGTAATACTGGCTTTTCTAAACAGTTCCATTTCTCTCTGCAGTCATGCAAGGGTGGGGGACAGGCGAGTGAGCAACGCTGGAGACCAGGCCCACCAGTGCTGCCAGCCTGCCCCTGCACACGGGGCTGGGAAGCTCAAGTGCTCCGAGCTCTCTGTGAGCACAGCCCCGCGAGGCGCAGCCCTGGGCCCTCCCCTCCTCTACCGGCGCCCCGGGCTCCCACACGCACACAAGCAGCAGGAGCTGCGTCTCTGACCTTGGCCCCAGCGCCCACGTGGCAGGGCCTCCCGGGCGCACATGCCACCCCCCCCTCCAGGGTCACACTGGCGGCCGCTCTCTGTACCAGGTTTCTCTGTCTCTCGGACTCCGTTTTCTGGTTGTACCACGGCTCGTCGCGGAAGGGCTCACTCTGCCACACGTACTTGAGGATGGTGTTGACCAGCGCCTTGCTGATGAGGATGCAGAGGTACACGACTAGGAACACATTCATGGACCTGCGGGGGAGGGCAGAGTGCTCAGCGGCGCGGGGCGCAGCACACCAGCCTGCTCGGGGCAAGGAGCTGGGCGGGCCCAATGCTGGGACGAGGGCAGCGTGCACCTGCTGCCCGGGAAGGGAGGCAGCTCCAGGGCCTGACAGACTCAGCTGGCAGGGAAACCGTGGAGGCGCAGGCCCTGTCACCCCATCCCAGCCTGAGGCCACCACAGCAGTCGGCGTGCACCTGTGGGACCCCGCATCCTAGGACACCTGGAGGTGCAAGCCAGGTCATGCCGCCCGGCTCCACACAGCTGTCGCCCGCCAGTGGGGCAGGAGCCTTACTTCTCCACAGCAGATCGCTTCTGGGACTTAGACTGGTAGTTCAAGGCCATCTTGGTCTCCATTCCCGTGTAGATGGCCACCCCTGAAGGCAGAAGAGACAGGTGACAAGGGCGGCCCCCAAAGGTGCCCGGCCGTGAGCCCCACGTGCGACCCGCACACAGGTGCACCCAGCGCCCACAGGCGAGCAGCACGCGGTAGCAGAAGTGGATCGCCGGAGAACCGGGCCCTCCGCCCGCAGCCCGCGCCGAGGGCTTCCTCCTCCTCGTCAGTGCAGCCTCCTCCGGGCCCAACTGTCCCTGCCCTGGCTGCTTACAGCAGGCCACATGTGCCCGTTTCAGAGCTGTGCTGCCCTTTAAAGCTCGGCACACGCCGCCCGTCCAGCGCCACCGGCGGGCGGAGCAAACGTCCCACAGAGGCACGCGGTGCGCGTCTCTCCCGATCCCAACTTCCGTTTCTTAGGCAAAACCTGCAGCCCTTCAGCAATCCCTGCTCTCTGGGGCCCTCGCAGCACAACCTAATCCCTCCAGCACGCGGCTGGCTCTGGGGGAAATCTGCGGGCTCAGGCCCCGCCCCAGCCCTTGGTCAAAGGGAATCGGCTTTCCTACACAGGGGCTTCTGCGTGCCCGCAGGCAACTCGCTCGCTCACCGAAGATCCGCTCGGTGTTCTTGAGGGTGGCTCCTCGCAGCAGCAGGTTCTCCGACCCCAGCGGCCTGCGGAGACAGGGCGACCAAGGGGCTGGGCATCGCGGCGGAGGGGCCTGGGAAGAGGCGGAGCCTGGGCCCCACGCAGAGGCGGGACAGCGGTCCAGGGACGTTTCTCCCGAACCCTCCTCCAGGGCACCAGGCACCCTGCGCATGTCAGAGGCGTTACCCCGACCCTCTAGGCAGACTCGCTGGGGCGGGCCCTGCAACTCCCCTTAAGCCTCAGCTCGCGGACCACTCTCTCCCTGAGCAGCCAAGGGAGGCCTGGCGCTGAGCTACACACAGCCTAGCTCTTCTGGTTTCTGCTTGCCAAGTCAATCTTGCTAAGTCCCTGGGCTGCCCAGCCTGGGCTTCACCTTGTGAACCTCCTGCCTCAGCCTCCTGGTGTGGCACCAGCCCCAGGGGGTCCGAGTCTCACCTAGCTGTCAGCTGTCTCTATCACACCTTGCAGGGATGGTCCCACTTCATGCAGCCATGTTTCTAAGGATAAAGTAGGGGCACTGTGGCCTACAATCTGGGTATAGCCTATCTACCTGCAGGAGACCTTCAAGGCTGCTCTGGGGACCTTAAATCTCTCCCTGAGAAGCCAGGCCTGCTGCAGGCAGAGCCACGAGAGTGGCGAGGTCTTGACTGTCAGGGCCTGTCTGAGCAGCTCTGGGGTGCTGCAGCAGCACGAACTCCTACTTCCTAAGCACTGGAAGAAAGTCAAGGGCAGGAGAGATAGCTCAGTGATCTGAAGCGCCTGCTTGGGCAAGCTTAGGCCAGCGTGTAGGGCTGTGGCCCGATCCCCTGCACCACATGCCACGCCTGCCCCGGCCTGGGGTGTGCAGATCTGGCCACAAAAAAAGAAAAGAAAATTGAGAGCCAGAATTCCAGTTTTGTTGTTGGTGACACCCGAACAATCCTGTTGGAGGACAGGGGAAGGGCGCCTGCTGAGGCTTGCTCCTCCGCATGTTAAGTTTCCTGAGCCAGGACAGCTGGAGACCTACTCCTAGGCTCCCAGCCAGGCAGCAGACAAGGTGCAGACTGCGCCCCCTGGAGTTCGGGACGGGACGCGCGGAGGGGAGGGCGCTCACAGCCAGGGTCACCTCCTGGGCATCACAAGGCTGTCAGGCTCTGTTAGCAAGCAGCATGCTATCCATAACTCCTGTCACCAGCGTTTATGGAAACAAGCGCCTGTTTAAAACAGGTCTCTGGAAAGCCTAAAAACAATTCACTTGAGAAAGCGCTGTGCTCCCAGGCTGTGCTCCCAGGCTGTGCTCCCAGAGTCCGGAGGTGGCAGTGAAGTCGAGCTCTCACGTGCACAAACTGCCCCTGGCAGCGTCTCCAGCCGCAGAGCAGACAAAAGCCAGGCAGCGGCCCTCGCGCGCGCGGCCCTCCGCTGCGCAGTGATTCCCACCCCACTCGCTTCCAGTCCAGGCAGCGCCTCCCAACA